TTTTTTTTTTTAAGATACGAGTCATCTCTCGACCGATTCTTTTGCTTTGACTTGCAAGGTCAGATGTGCGATTCTGACAACTTGAGTGGGATTCAAAATGAACCGTTGATCTGTTACGTTTATACTGCATCCAGGTAAAAGCTGTATGTATTTTTAAAGTATGTGCAATGAGGTCGAGAGCTATTTATCCTTATTAAAATATTCATTACTGCAATTTTTTTGACGATTGGAACGGATTACTGGCATTTCCATTCATACCAATAGGAAAATATGACCTGAGATTTAAGTTAAGTTACAAGCACCACTGTAATAAATCCCTCATTTCATGACATTTTTTCTAGTTTTTCAAAATCTTTTTTTGCAGCACAGTTTCTTTGTTTTGTTTTTTTTCCTTAATGCTAAATTTAACTCAGGACTGGAGAGCCCCACCCATGCCCTGAGAGCGGATGCCGACCCCAGCGCCCAAAGTGCCTCCGCCACCTACATCACCTTAGCCCAGGAACATCCTTATGACAGACACATAGAAATCATCCTGCACCTCAGCGGTGAGTACGGAAAAACATCCTCCACCTATTGCTGTCTTTTGTGAGCGTTAAAAGTGATTTTTTCACAGAACCGCACAGCCCACTGGTCATAATAGAGAACGGAAGGCTCTCCTTCAGCCAGTATGAACAGCACATCCTTTCTCGACGTGACTTCATTCGCTGCACCCGCAAAGATCCTGAACCTGAGAGGAAGGTTAGCAGATCCCACAAGCACCTTTTCTCCATTTTTTTCATGCAAACTGCTTCTGAATGAATGCGTGCGCAGGTGGAGTTTATGCGGAAGCGCTACCACAAGGACATCCTGAACAACCCGGTGTTGATGCTCAATTTTTGTCCTGATTTCTTGGCTGAACCTCTGGAGCTGAACAAAGCCACCAGAGAAATATTGTTCCTTGTTGACTGGAATGGCGGCATAAGTGGCACCAACATCCGTCGTGTCAAAGTGAGCACTGGCCACAGTTAGTCAGGTGTACAAAATCTATAATCATTTTTAATTAACTCTAATACACACTGTTGAAACACACTGGTAAACTGAAAAAGTTTTTGTTTTTAACTATCACGAACTTGGAATTTTGTGGCTGCAACACGTTTCCAAATAGCTGGAACAGGGTCATGCTTACCACCGTGCCACATCACATTTTCTTTTAACAACATTCAAT